TTTTGACAACTGGGAAAGTCCACGGCCGAGATCTTATTTTGATGACACTTTTCGAGCAATACGCCAAAATTACATCCACCAACACGATGATGACATTTGCACTGATTCTTGTGATTTGGCCTCTTGCGATCAAATCCTTGACTCCAGTCCAGAGTTGGTATTGGGACAAGCTTTCAACAGCCAGTCTCAATTTCATACCTGTTTGAAGCCATATGCTTGTCGAACAGCGGATACAGACATATTACCTTCTCTCCAGATTGACTCGTACTTCCACGCTACTCAGTGCGGTATTCGTCCATCAGATAAAGTTTTGATCTATAATTTCCGAGCACATCGGGCACGGATGGCGAGCCTTACACAGAATACGATCTGCAAACAACGTCCACTATATGTGACTACCTCTAGCGGGGCTGTACCCGACTACCATCCGCATATCACGAATTACAGTACTTTATTGGTGAGCCTAACCAGGCAGGCGCCTTTGTACAGACCGAACGATTCAGCTCTGGCTCATGACGTCCTGGACCCAGATTTGCTACAACCACCACAACGTGATACCATCTATCGTGGGGCTGTACCCGTTTCCAACAACATTGTTCAGGCTGGTTCTACTGTATTTGATGAGCAAGATACACGACTCATTCGTTCTGCCAGTCTGTGGCCATCCAATACGGTCCCTACTTCGAGTGCCGAATCAAGATCGTATATTCAGTTTCCCTCCAACATTGAAGATATTCTACCAGTCGTGGATCAAGAGATCATGATTCAATCTCCACACCATTTTACCACATCCAGTGGGACTGTACCCATCAACAACCATGGTGAGATCCACATCTATGACCAACCGATCCTTGATGATATCTCAAGTTATTTTTCTCATCGAGATCCTCTACTCCAAAATGTTTCCTTTACATCAGTCCGTGACAAGACAGTGACTGAATGGGATGCCTTACCTAGCACCAGATTGCAGGAGGTTTACATCAGCACACCTTTAAAAGGTGTTTGTCGACAACTACTGCAACCAGATCATCGGAACATCGATGAGTTTGTGACTATGGATCACTCATCCCGTCTCTCACTGTCCAATTCAACCACTCAACTGTGGTCCAAGCCCTTCGAGTCAAATACACACTCCGATCTTGCTACAGACTTCTCAAGGACAACTGCTAGCCGTGATCACACGTGGGGCAACTTCGAGTTTCGAGGTTGGAGCCAAGCAGTCTATACAGGAGGACATCCCGCTTGGGGGCGTTGCCAAATTATTCACATGGCACCTAACCCACCTTTCGCAGAACGATGTGCAGCTGCATTGCAAGACAATGGGTGGTTAGCATCCGATGAAGCACTTTGGTTCTTACGCAAGCTGAAGGATTGGAGAACTGATATTAACATTTGCCCGATCATTCAATGGAGTCCCAGTCGAGATCTCCGTCATCTTATGGCTGCAGAGGATCAACTACAGTTCACCAACCATCGTTTGAACATTTTGTTGTTCCTGGTGGAAGCTCACTGGTGTGCAGTTGAAGTTGATCGTCGGACAGACCCAGTCCATGTGGTGCTTATTCAATGGCCATCAGAGCATCATACAACGGCGGTCTTAGAACTGTCACGTACTTTGCAAATTCCACCTCACCATATGCTGGTCACTTTCGACTCCAACCACGAAGTTCTGACCATGTGCGGCTGGACAATACTATTTCGATGGTACCATAATTTTGCCATGCAGACCTGCCTTCAGCCTATGATTCATGTAACCAATCAGCATCAAGCTCAATTCGATCGAGTGATCTTGCGATCCCAACAACATTGGCGTCGCACAAATGCTACACCTGATCTCCTTCGGTTCGCTGTTGAATGCCGTAGCGCTTTTATGTCAGAATATGCAAGCAATCAACCAGACTCTCGCTTGCCACGAGGAGTGGATACTGTGATGTTCGTAGGTCCGCAAGAGGAATACGTGCAAGAAATTTGCCAAGTTCCTAGACCGCCCACAAATCGAGAAAGGGAAATTAACTACCTCCGAACCATGCTCATACAGCCAGCATGGATGACAAATTTCGAGGTCGAACTCGTATTGCGGACAGTTCGTATGCAGGTTCTTGACAGATATCTCCCATGCCCTTTGCACTTCGATACAGCCAAAGAAAGTTTTGAATCCTTGTCAGGCGATCTTCCAAGTGTGGCCGGCTATACCAAGGTTCTGTTTTTCATTACCTTCAATTATCACTGGATATCTATTTCCGGCCTTAAGCATCAACATCGCTGGATGCTGACTGCAGCCGTGCCGGCTCCTGAAGATCCTCACCTAGCTCCCTTGTTTCGTGCAGTTGCAGCATTACTCGAAACGTCTCCTGACCGGATTCATGTTCAAGCTACCGCTACACAGTCACACCAGCACCTCTGCGGATGGATACTTCTACATTCTCTCCAAGAGCACTGTGAGGTGTCCTTGACCCATGACACCACCACGCTCCTACAAAGAATTGCAGTCATGCCTAACTCCCGGATCAAGAATCTACTTTTCGAAGAGGCCTTGAGCACATGGACCCGACATGCACCAAATCAGGATGTTGTCGTTTTTGCTACACAAGTGAGGACCTTCTTCCTCGCACACATGGATATGTGGGACTCTCAAGCAACTATCCACTTCGGTGGTATGTTTCCTCAGCCCGCTATGACACCAGCACGTGCGTCGTGGAACACAGTTTCTTTGCCGACTAAGGCGAAACTCCTCCAGAAAATTCGTGGGCACGTCCAGCGACCGTATGTGTGTCCATGCATCCAACGTGTTACGGCCTACATCATCATTGACCGATTGCTAGATTCCGATGCCAATTGTGCTTTGTATGGTGCATTTATCAAGCCATCCCCTCTGAAATGGGCAACTCATTTTTGTGGGGAAAGAGTATCACATGCCATTTGTACGCATGATCAGATTACTGAAGTTGTCATTCAAGTTCCAAAGCGATATGCAGAACTGATACCGTTACATGTCGAAGCAATTGTCTACCAAGGCCAGGTACATTTCCAATCATCTCAAGCCATAATTTCCATTATGGACTTAGAATCTGGAATTCGAGTTTTTCGTACCGGTCGTAACCATCCCACCACCAACTTTGACATGGGCGAGTTTTGTTCAGGAGCATTTAGCGGATGGACGCAAGCGACTAAGATTCTGGAAACTATGGGGTACACCACGGCTACCAAATTTGCAATCGACCACGACCATTGCGTTGCCACCTGGTACTCCAGGAATTACACAGCTGACGCGATGGCGGCTAAGCCTGAAGATGTGTTTCAATTGCGTGATGAGTGTTTTTACTATCGTGAACTACCCATTACGTTTCAGACTGATTTAGCACTGGGCTGGTATCTCATTTTCTGTGAACCTATCGAAATCGCAACTGCGTCACCCCCATGTCCGGCTTTCTCTAGTGCAAGTACAGCTGCAGGTCTTGAGAAGGCAGAGGGACAAGTGATTATAGATACTTTGCTGAAAGTGATGCTGTTGCAACCGAAAGTGCTTGTCCTGGAAGAAGTCGCTAATTTACGGACACACGCACACTTCCCTTTAGTTCTGGAGCTCCTCAATTGGGGCAATTTTCAAGTTGCATGGCAAGAAGTCCTTAACCTTGAAGAATGGCTTCCGCAATCCAGACCAAGACTTATTCTGATTGCCATTCGACGATGTGCATATGGTCTTAAGCATTTTGCATGCCAACCATGGCCATCAAATCCTCTTGGACCGACTTCTTTGCGAAATTGCCATTGCCTCCTTCGAGACACAGCTACCATCGAACTTATGTCGGCACCTTTGGATTGTGACATTGCAAAGCTCTACCTTGATCCATCCAAAGTCCCAGGAACTGCCCCAAGAACCTTTCAGGACGCAGTTCGTTTCCGTTTACGCACTGAGCAAGATCGTGTACAGTGTCTCATGACAAGTTACGCGTTTGGGCACGAATTTGATGCAACGTCAGCCACACCAAAGGGTATCTTTGGTAACCTCATCAGACATAATGGATGCATCCGCTTCCTCGTGGGACCTGAGCTGCTATGGTTGCAAGGACTTTCGGTCCCTTGGAAAGGTCCAATCCATCCACGTTTACTGAATCATATCGTCGGCAACGCCATCAGCATACCACATGCACTCTTAGGACTTCTCAATGCACTGTGTCATTTCTCTCATCTTGAACTGGATACATTTCCTCACGAACTATTTCGAGTGGCGATGCAATCCCGCCTTCATGCAGTAAACTCAGATTGCCTTGTGGATCCTAATACGGGCACTTTCTCTGTTGCGCCGAAAGAAGTCCCAGCTACACTGCCGTGGGATGCCTGGGAGGACTCCCAGCCACCCTTAACTCAAGTTGACTTGCTTCAAGGCAATCGACAAAGATCGATTTGCGTACAGCCAGGTTTGCCGATTTTGCCCATCTTTCGATCCTTGTTTAAGTCGCACACCATCGAGCACATCTATTGGCTTCCTTTCAATCAAGTAGGTGTGGCATTACCTCTGGTTGATACGGATACATTTTGTGGTGGCCGGATGACGTTCTCCTTACCAGATTCCTATCGCTTATGTATCCAGGAGACATCCTTCCAAGAGATGGCAACAGAGTGGACAACCATCTTTCTGCCAGATCGTTTGGTTATTTGCCAAGTGTCAGCCTCTACCACGATCTCTGACCTTACATCATTCGTTTCCCATGAGCGGTCCATGCCATATCAGTTGTGCAATCATACGCTAAAAAGCTGGAACTCCACGGCTCGTCCACCACAGGCCATTATCGCCCGTTGTGTCGAAGCCTTTGTGCCTTATGTGGAACAACATTTTCAGGGCACTTTTGTCGATATGGGGGATTGGCTTCAAGTCCATCTACCCATCAGCCAAGCAACAGAATTCCTACAGAATTGTCATGGCAGCGGACTAACCGACCTCTTATGGGCATTCGGGTGGAGGATTTTTTGTCTCCAAGAACCAAATTCCGTGTCCATGAACAGATCCATTATGATCCTCCCAGCATGCGCTCAGCTTTTCGTAGATTCGGTGGCCGTGCGAAACATTCTCGCTGCACATATCACCACGTGGTACATACCACCAAGTTCAAATCCTACTACTAACACGGTTCACCTATCCCTCAAGCTATGGGCAACAGTGATTTGGGAAGGTCATCTCCCGATTACAACCAAGACAGACATTTTCGCATCA